CATGGTTATGATTACAGACCCTGCCTGTATTGGTCAGGGGATCAAGTCCCGGTTGTTGTATGCTGGTTCTGGGTTCTGCAGGGCTTGCTCGGGGTGTTGGTCTAGGTTGTTCGATTGTTCTCCCCAGTCAGATGTACCACACACATGTGCCATTTCCGATTGTTGCTCATACGGTTGAGTCTTCCAGTTACAGTTCACAGGTCACGGGTTCGAGCTTGGTCAGACTTTGGGGGGGGTTGTCCAGTCTGGCCCGTTATATATGGTATTCTCAACACACATACAGTGCTGACACATGGCCTTCGGCCCCATATATGATTCATACTGCCTTCGGGTATACGACTGGCTTCCGGATATATACACACATATCAGTCCGGATATATACACACATATCATAAATAGCCTGCGGGCTAACATACATCCATAGCTTCTGAGCACATACATACGGCCTAAGGGCTTACATGCATCTATAGTTGACTAGGGGGGGGTTAGAAAGACTTAGACTCTAGGGTATAGAATACGGTAGTTACCCCAGCAGGTCTGAGTTCCACCTAGCCAAGATAGGGGCAAGCTAGGGGAAGGACGGTAGGACTGTCAGTCTGAGTTCCGCCTGGCCTTGGGTAAGCTAGGGGAAGGACAGTAGGCTGTCTGGCTGGGGTACTGACTGCTAGTTAGCCCGTCCCCAAAAATAAACCCAGGGGTCTATAGTCCCTAGAATGAGGATACGAGGTTGGTAGAATATAGTGGTGCCTGGCGTCCGAAGTTCCCGTACAGCGAGGCCTGTCCGATTCCGCTTCCACTGGGGCTGGGGTAATAGCTAGCCTTGGTGCCTATCACTACTGCCTGGTCCAAGTCACCCACCTATCGGTTGGGTGATAGTCCTGAGTGGGTTACACTGAGGTAGGATAGTAGGGTTAGGGGGTACGCTGGGAGTATTGATGAGTGGTAGGGATGGGAGGTGACCTCGTAATTTTAGGACTGCCACGGCTCATCGCTCCCGGTGATCCCTGTGGGCCTGGTAATTAGCCTCTACAACACCCTGGACCTTTATATATAATAATTAAAAAAAAAAAGAAAAAAAAGGGGCCTACTAGGGAGGGTGATAAGAGCACCCCCCCCTAGTAGAAACCGCCAGGATCATTTCATCTATTGGTGGAGAGCTGCACCTGCTGGAAATCGGGTCTAGTGTCCCTTGACAACATGAAGACCGTGAGGCTTGAAAGTGA